GTCCGAAGCACATCCGCTTCAACATATCCCCAACTATGAGGAGACTCGCATCACAAAAGGCTGAGGTGCTACACCTCTTGTCCAAAACTTCAACGTTTGACTACTCAAAAAAATGCAAATGAGAACAGCAACACCAAGAAGGATTGTTATAAGAAAGCTGACGTGAAGCCAGCCCGCTCCACGTCCCCTGATACAATGGCCTTCTGGAATCGTTGAATCCATTTTGGGGATACGTACAATATGGACTATACCATTGGGGACCCCAATTTTTGGAAATCCCCAGGACGTATTTGGAAATCACAGCAACAATCCGGAGTGCAAAATTTGAGGTCCGATTGGATTGTAGCATATCAAGCTTTAGGGTCCAGAGTATATAAGGGGTCCCAATATGTATGTAAACTACCAATGAGCCTTAGTCTAAACTCTTAGTATCCCCCCTACTATATCATCCTCTATAAAAACCCTCTTCAAAGAGTTTAGACTATAGCTCAAGCATTCGCTGGCCTCTTGCTGCACTTCCGGCTCATTCGAGATCTCTGCTGGAGCTGCTGATGCCTGGATGTGAGGGGTTTCAGCACATGTGGGTAAGACTTGGCTCCAGCTACCATAGCTACCCAAATCCTTAACCTAAACCCCAAAATCACTAAAATGAGCACCCTTTCATGGTCAAATCTGATAGCTGTAGGGTCCTTATTCTAGGGGGTGGGGTACTAAGATCCGCTTATGTCCTGTGACAGCCTCTTCTTGGGGATGGATGTGCAGAGGCTTTTGGGGAATGTCTTTTGGAGGGTTGGACTTGAAAAGTTGTGGGATGCGAGGGTCTGTCCTACATTAATTTTGCTTGCAGGGGTGACCTCTCCCCCCACTATACGCTCAGTCCTTGACTTGCCAATCAAAACTCTGAACCCTAAACCCGAAGGCCTGAGGCTTACTACCGAATCCTAAGCCCTAAACCACCAGGCCTGGTGCCCTTCATCATGATCGGGGTTGAGGGTTCGGGATTTAGGGTCTGAGTTTTTTTTGAAGGCAGAAGACTTTTACGTCTGCCCGGATGGACACTGGTAGGTCACAGCCATTAAGCAAAACCACGGAGCAGCGAACTCCAAAGGGTTTAAGGGTCAACGTGAGCAATTATTCTTAAAATCCACTCCCCCAAACAAGACTGGATCCCTACAACCCTAAGACCCAATATAGCGGGACAGTACCCTACTAATCGTGCCCCAGTACAATGGACACCCTGAACAGCGTACTTCTACTTGCTGGCGGCCCCGGGCGCCTCTGCTGCAAGAGCATTCGCGGGCGAAGGGAGTTCTGCAGCTGCCTCTTCCGCCTGGATCAGGCTCTTGGAACAGCGATGCGAGGACTTTTTAATGATGAAATTACCGGGCGTGTGACAGATGATGATGACTATGATGATGGTGATGATGATATTGTTGATATTGATGATGTCGACAAAGACGACCGCAACGGTGGTGCTGACGGTGGCGATCATGGTGTAGATGATAGTGGTGAAAACAGTGATACTGGCTGTCAGAACAATGGGAGAAGCAAAAGCAAACGTGGTAGTAATGACACTGCTTCAACAAACAGTACGGGTTAAACAAAACAAACTGTCATTGACAGCGTTTGCTTCCATACTCGGGTTGTTTTCATCCTGACAAAGGGCGAATCGCGAAAATGAGCCAGTTTCTGTACTTTTGACATTTCGTGACTTCAGCATGACCAATGTTTGTTGCAACTGAGGCTTCGGGCAGGATAGGCGCCTCTGGTAGTGCTCAGGCTTTAGGGAAAGCAGAATTGAGTCCTAAATCAGCATGCCACCCCGGCACAAAAAATCCAATCCGGCGCACTGAAAGACATCTGGGCATGTCCCTTCCGTACCAAATCCCACTGGAGCTTGTACTAGTTGCTTGGTATATCCTGACACTCTCCAGGTTGCTCAGAGTTATCTTTAACAGTGCCTTCGGCATAATTACGACACTACATGCAATGGCAACAAAAGAACGCGTATGTTCGCAGGCAATTGCAAGAAACCATAGCAGGGGATCCACCCGCCCACTCCCTCCAGCACCAGTCAGTGTGCTTAGGGTTTAAGATTCAGGGTTTGGGGTATAGTGCTGTTTGCATCTCAAATCTTGGGGACAAGTCTTTACTATTGTATTGAGTTGAAGGTCAAAAGAGTTACTGCTGAAAAGCTTCTGAGAACAATGCAGACATGGAGAAATCCGGAACTTCTGCGGTTTAGGGTGGCTTCCAGGAAATTTAAAGTATGGTCTTGCCATTCTGTCTTGTAGCTCCTCACCAAGTCCTACCGTAATACACCGCAATATCCTACAGTGACACAAGGACTAGGGCAATGTCATTTTGGGACCATCTGAGTAACTCGACCTGCCCGGCCTCCTGAGGCACTTCGGGGTCTTTTGGGACCTCTGCAACACAAGCTGCTGCTGCCTGGCCAGTTGTGTTGTTCAGCCACAGAAGTTCTAGATTGTAGTGTCATTGTTTTTCCAAGTGTTAGGACTTGTAAGCTGATAGGTTCAGGATGCTGCTGGTTTGCGGTGTTTTGAACCCCTTTTTGGGGATACGTACAATACGTACTATATTGGGACCCCGATTTTTGGAAATCCCCAAGACGTATTCGGAAAGAAGAGAAAATGAGGGGTCCTTTTGGATTGTAGTGTATCAAGGTTTGGGGTCCAGGGTATATAAGTGGTCCCCTATGGTCCCCCTAAATGTATGTAAACTACCAACGATCCCTAGTCTAAACTCCTCGCCAAACTCCTAGTATCCCCCTAATAACCCCTACTATAATTCCCTATATAACCCCCTTTATGGAGCTTAGGCTGTAGCTCAAATGTTTGCTGGCCTCTTGCTGCACTTCTGGCTCATTCGAGACCTCTGCTGGAGCCGCTAATGCCTGGATCGCGTGGCGTACGAAAAGCTGTCCATCTAGGAAATCGGCCTCCGCATGGGTAGCCCAAAGGAGAGGAATCATCTAAACTTCTAGAAGCCTATCACTTGAAGCACTTTCAAGATTCACTCCCCTGAACACACAAACGGATCCCTATAACCCTGAGCCCCAACATAGAGGGATCGTTCCGTAATAATCCTGCCCCAACAATGGACACCCTGAACGCCTCTGCTGCCGGAGCATTCGCAGGCGAAGGGGGTTCTGCAGCTGCCTCCTCTGCCTGGATCAAGCTCTTGGCAAATATGAGTTTATGCGTTTGATGTGTAGACATTTGTGTGTACATGTACATGTGTATATATACATATACACAAGACCTCGAGAAGAATAAGGATATAAGCAAACATATTAACAGCGATGCGAGGACTTGTAACTAGGAGATTGCCGGGCGTGTGATAGGTCATGATGAGAATAGTGATGGTGATGCTCATGCCGAGGGTGATGGTGATGATCATGGTGATGATGATGACGATGGTGATATCGACCACAACGACCACAACAGTGCTGCTGACGGTGGCGATCATGGTATAGATGGTGGTGGTGAAAACTGTGATACTGGCTGTCAGAACAATGGGAGAAGCAAAAGCAAGCATAGTAGTGATGATGCTGCTTCGACAATTAATATCCAAGAAAAAGCTGACAGTCGAATCGTGAACATGAGGCTGGCTCCGCACTTTTCATATTCCGACTTTAGAATGACCAATGTTTGTTGAGGTTCAGTGCTGTTGGCGCCTCTAGTACTGCTCAGGCTTCAGGGAAAGCAGAATCGAATCCAACATCAGCGAATGGGTACTTCTCTTCTGTCCAACTCCGACTGAAGCTTGTAGTACTTGCTTGGTATATCCTGACAATCGGTTTGGGGTATATAGTGCTGTTTGCATCTCACATCTTGGGGACAAAGCTTTACTATTGAGTTGAAGGTCAAAAGAATTACTGCTGAAAAGCTTCTGAGAGCAATGCAGACATGGAGAAATCCGGAACTTCTGCGGTTTAGGGTGGCTTCCAGGAAATTTAAAGTATGGTTTTACCATTCTGTCTTATAGCTCCTCACCAAATCATACCGTAATATACCGAAATATGCTACAGTGACACCAGGACTAGGGCAATGTCATTTTGGGACCATTCAGGCTACTCAACCTGCCCGGCCTCCTGAGGCACTTCTGGGTCTTTTGGGACCTCTGCAACAGAAGCTGCCGCTGCCTGGCCAGTTGTTTGTCGAGGCACAGAAGTTCTAGTGTCTTATGGTTTTCGTCCTTCCTTGACATTGTTTTTTCTTCACTTCTTAGGGCTTGTAAGCTTATAGGTTCAGGATGCTGGTGGTTTGCGGTGTAAAGAGGCAAGCGGGCCAAGCATCTTGTAATATCCAACCCAAAAGCCTGACTTCCGAATGCAAAGCTTACTAGGGTCAATTCTTTGGCTAAAATTCTGATACTTTTCAAAGCTCCATGGAGAGCCTAAGCAGAGACTTGTATGACGCATAAGACTGAGGCTACCTGTACAAGACCTTGCGATGCCTCACTGAAACACCCAATGGGCAAGGTGCAAACAGCCTGAGCTGTCACCATCAAAAGCCTCAACAATATCCAGGGCAACGTGCGGGACCCAAAAGCCTGTTGGATAGAAAAGGTCCGAAGCACATCCGCTTAAACATACCCCCAACTATGAGGAGATTCGCATCACAAAAGGCGGAAGTGCTACACCCTTTGTTCAAAACTTCAACTGAAGCCAGCCCGCTCCACGTCCCCGTGTACAAGGAAGGGCCTTGTGTAAATTGTCAATCCCTCTTGGGGATACGTACAAAAACGACTATACCATTGGTAACCCAATTTTTGGAAATCCCGAGGACGTATTTGGAAGTCAGAGCAACAAACGGGAGTTTCGCAAAATGAGATGTCCTTTTGGGTTGTAGTATATTAAGGTTCAAGGTCTTGGGTATATAAGTGGTCCCCTTATGTATGTAAAATACCAATGAGCCCTAGTCTAACCTCCCAGTATCCCCCCGAATCCCCCCCCAATAACCCCTATAATAGTTCCCTACATGATCCCCTATATAACCGCTTTGAAGGAGTTTAGACTCTAGACTATAGCTTAAATGTTTGCTGGCCTCTTGCTGCACTTCTGGCTCCTTCGAGATCTCAGCGGGACCGTCTAATGCCTGGATGTGAGGGGTCTCAGTACATGTGGGTGAGACTGGGTCCCAGCTACGCCATCCTCTAACCTAAACCCTAAACCCTAAAACTACTAAAACCAGTACCCCATCAAAGCCAAATCTGATAGCAATAGGGTCTTTAGTCTAGGGGGTGGGGGCACTACGATCCCCTTGCGTCCTCTTACAGCTTCTTATTGGGGATGTACAGAGGCTTTTGCGGACCTTTTTGGAGGGCTTGGACTTGAACAGTTTTGGGATGCGAGAGTCTATCCTAGCTAAATTTAGCTTACATGGCGACCTCTCACCCACCCCAGCCCTAAACTTGCCAATGAAAACTCCAAACCCTCACTCAGGCTTCTACAGATTGCGAGCTGGACCTCTTTTTTTGATAAGAAGAACATGTGTCTACTGCTTGCTAAATAACGGACATCATAGCGGAGTTTGGCTTCACTGTTGAGACTGAAAAACTGATCCTAGCAAAGCCCGATATGAGCCCTCAGTTATATGCATCCCCCGCATGATCCGTGGAGTCTTCCCACAGCAAAAGTTTCACACCCTAACCCATATAACAGTAGCGGAGTGAATAAGAGGATTCTGCTAAACCCAAGCCCCCAAAATCAGGGTCCTATTGTGCTCTCATCATTTGCCTGTATTAGGGTCCTTGGGGTGTGGGGTTGCCAAAGCCCCTGGGCAATCAATCCCCAGACCCTAACGTCTAAATCGTAATCCCTCACCCGAATCCTTAAACCCTACGTACTCCCAAAATCGTAATCCTTAAACCTTAATCCTAAAATCCCTAAATCGTAATCCCTCAACCCGAATCCCTAAACCCTACTCCCAAAATCCCTAAATCGTAATCCCTCAACCCGAATTCTTAAACCCTACTCCCAAAATCCCTAAATCGTAATCCCTAAACCCGAATCCTTAAACCCCAATCCTGAAATCCCTAAATCGTAATCCCTCAACCCGAATCCTTAAACCCTACTCCCAAAATCCCTAAATCGTAATCCCTAAACCCGAATCCTTAAACCCCAATCCTGAAATCCCTAAATCGTAATCCCCAAACCCGAATCCTTAAACCCTACTCCCAAAATCCCTAAATCGTAATCCCTAAACCCGATTCCTTAAACCTTAATCTCAAGATCCCTAAATCGTAATCCCTAAACCCGAATCCTTAAACCTTATCTCAAAATCCCTAAATCGTAATCCCTAAACCCGAATCCTTATACCTTAATCCCAATATCCCTCATCCCTACACCCTCACTTCCTGAAGGCTGCAGGGCAGTTACCCGTACCTCGACTTCCGGCGGCATTGATCTGGCCTCTGAAGGAAGCGCCTCCGAAAGTACTACTAATGAACGTGTATCTATAAATAGATATATATATATATACACACGCATATATATATATATAAACAGGCGGAATGTGGGTACAAAGGGATTTGGAAGGGATACAGGGTTATGTATGGTTCGCTGACCCATTAAAACTGTGAAATGGAGAGGCAAATGGAAAATGGACAAATTGACAATGAAACGGCCGTCTGGGTTTCTATCAGACTTTATGGGGACTGTATGTAGGAGCCTATTGAACTAGAACAGGGTTGTTGGGGATATTACACTGGGAAAGTTACATGACGGCTATGAGAAAATACTGCTGATGATTATTTAAGGGGGCATAGTCCGCCCTGTGAGGACTGCCCGGGGAAGGGCTGCAAGACCTCGTCAAAGCAACCCGCATATTGCTGATGTAGGCTGATCTTCGGAACACATCGGAACCAGCATTTGCTTGCAACTTCTGGCAGGGGGATGTGAGGCAAGTGTGGACCTTATTCTGCGGTTGCCTCGCCGTGTGCAGTCGCCAACTCTGCCTCGGGTGTCTCGCTAGAGGGCACCTGCTGCACATATCTCAAACTTAGAAAATCGGGATCTTGCTGGCTCCCAGCTATGCCGTTGGCAAATGTCGACACATCGTGGGGTAAACCTGTGTTGAGACGCCATGGACCACGATACCGTCGCATACATATAGGCACACGTTTGGGCTTGTGCTGCATCCTCTCACACTCAAATAGTTCTGCAGTCACGCTCTATAGACCAAAAAGTGGAGAAGATGCTGCGATGACACTTGGCTCATGTCACGCTTGCAGCGTGATGCATGTAGCCTCTCTGAAGATGATCAATTCTGATCGTTCCACCTCATGATCCTAACGACGTCCTCTCAAGTCACTGCAACCACCATGACCAGCAATACTCTGTTGTGACTGCACTGTGAACCTCGACAGCCTTCACAATGCCTGGCTGCCTCACACTTCTAATTAGACACCCGGCCTGCTGATCCTGCGCTGCTGGCTGCGCGCGTGGCTCATCGTCCTGGCCCTCTGCGGAGGCTGCCTCAGCCAAGGGAGCTTCGTCCGAGGCCGCTTGGTCGCATACCTGCCGCAAGTGACCATTGCTAGGGTGTCAGGACAGAGTCTAGGACTGGACTGCTACAAGGGACGCCCCAGATCCCTCAAAAATTCAGGAGAGAGCTCCAACAAACATCTGGGAGAGTGTGATCAAACAAGTGGAGAGCATTTCACACGCCTGACGCATGGAGCGGTTTGAAGCTCAGCTCTGGAAGAAGCAGCTGAAGCATCCGTCGGCCTGTGCCTCGCTAGGCATCACATCCGCTGCTGACTGCGACGGCGGCTGCGCCTTCGCTGCAAAGACACGTGACGATACCTTCAAACCCAA